TAGCAATTTAAACACAGGACATCTGAAGTATTTCTCCGTCGTAGCAATGAACCCCTTCAATGACTTTTAATGACTTAATTAGTCATTAAGACTTGGTAACCGCTGGAAAAGGGGGGGGGGGAGAGGGATGCTTGTAAATTTTTACAGACTGGGAAACAAAATAATTATTTTATCTTTCGGTTCTAACTTTAAGAGAAAGGATTCGCCCTGATCGAGATGATCTATGGATCTGGAGATGATCTATGAATCTGGAGATGATCTATGGATCTGTGTTGAAGAGGTTGGGGTGTATCATAAAATGTTTCTTAGTTTTACAATAGCATTTTTTCCTCCAATAGTTCTTCAAGTGAAGGGTGTTTTGTTTGTGTCATGTTTCTATCGTTCGTGATTATTTTTTTTACTCTGTGTCGGGATGTCGGACCATGAATTCCCACACCAGCAGGTGATATTGTAATTAAGGAAGCTTCCAAGTGTTGCACTGCAGATTTAGTAAATAACTTGTTTGTTTACGCCGAAATTGTACAATTTTTAAAGATAGACACGTCTTTAGTTGTCTTTTTTTTTTAAATTGAGCATTAGATCGTGTTCATGGCATGTCAGCTCGTTATTAATTGTGACATCAGGTACTTACGTGTCTCTACTTGTTCTTTATTTTGATTATTTATTGAGAGATCTGCAAATGGGGTATTTCCCCTGCTGAAAACCATTTCTGTCGTGTTTGTTTTTGGAGACACTTAGCTGAAGAAAATTTTCATCGCACCAACTGATAAAGTTTTCCCCTTAGGATATTAAGCCAACGACGGTGGTATCATCTGCAAATTTAATGATTGGAACGGTGTTGCTTGCTCTCTGGACATCATTGGTATATATTGTATACAGTACAGGGGAGAGAAAGCAACCTTGTGGTGCACCGGTACTTATTTTTCTAGTTAATGATAGTTGGTAATTCACCTTGACATATTTGGGCGATTTGTCAAAAAGTTCTGTATCAATGTCTTTGAATATTTGAATTTACACTTAACAAAGAAAGCTTTTCAATCATGTGTGGTTGGACGGTGTTTGTGAGTTCATCAATGTCCGGGCAGATTTGTATAAATGTATCCCACTCTGTACTCTCCAAGCAGCCCTGCCGGTGTTTGTGAGTTCATAAATGTCCGGGCATTTTTGTATCCCACTCTGTACTCTCCAAGCAGCCCTGACGGTGTTTGTGAGTTCATCAATGTCCGGGCAGATTTGTATCCCACTCTGTACTCTCCTAGCAGCCCTGACGGTGTTTGTGAGTTCATCAATGTCCGGGCAGATTTGTATCCCACTCTGTACTCTCCAAGCAGCCCTGACGGTGTTTGTGAGTTCATCAAAGTCTGGGCAAATGTTTATACATGTATCCCAATCAATTAGGTAGGATGCAAATGAGGGTAATACAGATCTGTTTGAACTCCCTTGGTAGATAGAGTGGCCTTGACGTGATGAAAAAGTAGTTCCATGTCTGGTGTACAAACAACGTATTTCATTGTGCTGTTGTTGATGTTCTTGTAATTTTTTTGTGTGATCATGTCTGTATGAGGAAACCAATGATTAAAAAGGTATGTGACATGCTTTAAATTGGTTGTCTCGACTCTTATGTCCTACTATTTACATGTTTCAAATGTTTACTATGTTTCCCATTAAGTGTGCACGGATTGACCCCTAGATCTGTCATTAAAGAATTGACAAAATGCTTGATGAGTATTGGTCTGTCAGAGTTACTTTTTCTAGATAAACCTTACAAAGTTATCTCTCACGGATTGGATGTATGTTCGTTGACTCATACCCTGACTTTCGTTTGGTCATTTTTACAATAACTTATCAATACCACGCTGTCATTTTGTTCTACTCTTATGAACAAGCTGTTTGAAATTCTATGAACGTTTTAATTAATATCAATACATTTTAATGAATTTTTGTTTTATTTTAAAATTGGAAAAAAGTTGGTGACGGTATTCACTCACATAAATTAGGTGTCTGTTACATTCGATGTTTATGCGCAAAGAAGCCAATCTTAAAATTAAAATTTTCATTTTTATGCAAGGTATTGTTATAACAGCATTATTTCTAAAATTGTAACTTTTGTGGAATGTTATCAGCTTCAAATTTGAGTCAATTATAATTGTAATATCTTGGCATTTGCCTCATTAATATTTAAAATATTTGCGATATGTGTCATAGATAAATATCATCCTTCTACCATATGAGTTATTGATCAAAATGATATTATGGTCAAGAGATATGGACAATTTTCAGCCTTGTCTTTGTACAAAGTAATACACGGACAGACACATAAAAGCACACATACAGATATAAACATAGACAGACGCACACATACACACACATACACACACACATACACACACACACAGACAGTCAGACAGACAGACAGACCGTCATACAGACAGACATTCAGACAGACAGACAGTCAGACAGACAGACAGTTAGACACGAAGTCAGATAGAAAATCAGACAGACAGTCAGACAGACAGACAGTCAGACAGACAGACAGTCAGACAGTCACACAGACAAAAAAACAGATTCCTAACCCAAGGGCGGAAAGACCCCCCCCCCCCCCCAAACCACACACACACACAATTTTCACATTTTTTCCCTGTGGGGATTACGCCACTCGTAAAAAATGACGTTGCTGGATTAATCTTGCATTGACTTGTGTGTGTACCTGATGCTCAAATATTTAAGAGCCGTAGAGTCGGCCCATCGTACAATGTAGTGTATCCTGTGGTTTACTTTTCAATAAGATCATACGCTAGACGACTGCGTGGGATTTTTTCTGTGCGATTTTGATGGGTTTTATTCTCTCGAAACTGATCAGTGATCAACTACTCATTATTCCGATACAATTTAACCCACCAGGCCAATGAGCTCTCACACGCGACTTAATTTGGGAGCTGTAAGCCCATCTCACATCATTGTAAGCGTATCATAGATCAATGTAAGCGTATCTTACACCATTGTAAGCGTATCATAGATCGATGTAAGCGTATCTTACACCAGTGTAAGCGTATCATAGATCAATGTAAGCGTATCTTACACCAGTGTAAGCGTATCTTACACCAGAGTCGTTCTCAATTCTAAAAGTGTCACACTTCATGCAATAAAAATGGTGACGCTAATAAAGTTGGATATACAACTTTATTGGTGCATGCGCAGGAAAGTCACGTGATTTAAACATTTTTGTCCTATTCCATTTGTATTCCATAATATCAACCATAACTTTTTTTTGCTAGCTGTTCCGGTCTGGTTGTGCCAGCATCAATCTTTATACTGCTTACCCAATTTATTGCAGATTTATTCATGAAATACTTTTGCTTTAAATGTTTGCATTGCAATTAAGGTTCATCATCCTCAATAAAAAAAAAAAGAAAACCTCGCTACATTAGTCAATAGCTAATGACTTTCAAATAATTTATGAGAGTAGAAATAGTAACATTCAAATGTTTTCTGACCACTTTTAACGACATAATTCTTTCACGCTATTGTGTCATTTTGATTACTTTTTTACCTTGCATAGCTTCTTGTTTCCCATGTTGTTTTTTTAGGTGTTAATAAACCATTCTGCTTTATTTCAATAAATTTTGATGTTGTTTGGTTATTTATAGCATAATGGTTTTTTTTATTATCATAGAAAAAAAAATAATGCCAACGAACGTGTTGGCAGGAAGCCTTCGTAGGCGAACAAATACAATTTTTTTTTTAAATACGACTTAGCTAAGAAGTATTATCCGAGAGGGCAGAAAAAAAATTGTGACAGAAAATAAGTAGATGAGAGCTTAAATACGGGTACAAAGGGAAAGAAAAGAGGAGAAGTCACTTGACTGCGATTGGTCGTGACGTGGAGGGCGGGGCAAAATCTCAAGCTGTGAATAAAGACATTACGTTTATGCCATGTGGTGTCAAGGTTCCATTGATCTGGATAAGCTAGTTTTCTAAATTCACCCGGCTGGGTGGGTTTGTGCTAATCACGATCACACTAATTGTAAAATCAGCTGTGCCCTTGTGGTCGCTTCAATGGAAGTGTTTAGAGACGGGTCACTGTTTATCTTGCGTATTACTACTGGGGTGTTCAGTACACCTGTCAGAGAGTCGGCGACCTGTCTTCCCTATGTACGGCATCTGATAGCGGGTGCAAACAATGGCGTAGACCATCCCGTATCTGAAAGCTGCTCTTAGAGAAGGGTGTGTGTTAAGTCTGGACGACAAAAGGGCAAGCGGTGAAACGGCTGCGTCCACATGCTTTGGTCCCAAAGTGGGACGGGGCAGCGTTGATGTGACTCATATACTTACATACGCACATGTTTACATAAACACATGCTCATACACACATCCTCACACACATACGCACGCGCTCACATACACGCATGCTCACAAACACATATGCTCACATTCGCACATAAATACAGACGCACATGCTGACATAAACACATGCTCACATAAACACATACTCACACACACATGCTTTCATACGCAGATGCTCACATACACTTATGCTCACATACACTTATGCTCACATACACTTATGCTCACATACACTTATGCTCACATACACTTATGCTCACATAAACTTATGCTCACATAAACACATACACACATACACGCATGCTCACATAAACTTATGCTCACATAAGCACATACACACATGCTCACATACACTTATGCTCACATACACACATGCTCATGTACGTCCATGCATCACGTACCCCCATGCTTACATGCTCACATATAAACATGAAGACATACTGAGTGAAAGAGATGGAGCAGCCACAGTAGAGAAAAATACAATTCCGTACAGATGTGCTGGCTACGTCCAAAGTTTTAAACAATGTCATGGAAGAGTTCTTAACGTTAGACACGTCATCGAATCCACAACAGATCCACCTAATTGTCCGTTATTAGCCTTGGGGGAGGCGGGGAGCCAACAACAAAAAAAACCCAACAAAACCTTTGTTAAAGTACACCACTCATTTTACTAACCTGAATCAACAGAAATATACAATTACAACTACTTGAAAAAATAGTGATTCAGTTTTTTTTATATAATTAGGCAAAGTATGTTAATGTACTAAAAAATATAGGTATTTTCTTCTTGCGACAAACACAATCTAATAACTTAAATTAAATAGATCAATGGCCACTTTAAGCTAGTTATAAACAATGTACCTAAAAGATCACCAAATAATGGAGGAAAAAAAATTGTTAAGACAATGTAGCGTTGGACATTGCTGTATTTTGTGTAAAGTTGGGGAGAGCCTCACTGTCTAGTCCTTGACTATTGGATCCTATGGAAATTTCATCGTGTCAATGTCATAGCGCCATTTCAGGGTTTGATTTCAGAGTTTGCATTCTTCTTCGAGGAATATTTCCGAGTCTCATCCACCAGTGGTGCTGTTGATGTTTTGACTTTTGTCTTTGTTTTCTTTCTTATTTTTTTCAAAGTGACGTACGACACAAAGTGACGTGAAACACCAAGTGACGTGAAACACAAAGTGGCGTGAAACACAAAGTGACGTGAAACACAAAGTGACGTGAAACAGAAATTGGCGTGAAACACAAAGTGACGTGAACAACAAAGTGGCGTGAAACACTAAGTGACGTGAAACACAAAGTGACGTAAACACAAAGTGACGTAAAATACAAAGAATGATTAATAACTCCATTTACAAAAAAAATGTCTTTATTGTTTTGAAGTATAAAAAATTTGTCATTGGCTTTCTGATTTTAAAAAAACAGACTAAAGCCACGTTCACGCCAGTACCAGCTTTTTTTTTTTGGCTTCTTTTTTTTTTTGGTTTGTTGTTTTTTTTTAAAATTTTTTTTTTTTTTTTTTTTGGGGGGGCTTTAAACTGTTTTTTTTTTGCTTTCTTTAAATTAAAAAAAAAAAAAAAAAAAAAAAAAAAACAAATTAAACACAATAAAAGATTTTTTTTTTTGGCTTCTTTTTTTTTTTGGTTTGTTGTTTATTTTTAAAATTTATTTGTTATTATTATTTGGGGGGGCATTAAACTGATATTTTTTTGCTTACTGTAAATTAAAAAAAAAATGAATGCACAATGTGTTCAGGGCGATTGTGGCTTTAAGCTCTGCGTGTTGTAGTTCTTCCTTCAATCTCATCAACCTGAAATGGTAGAAATTCGTCTCAAAATCAGTTCAGACTTTCAGTGGCATCAAAAGCTGATTGAACGCTTCATGAACAAACAACAAATGTGACAGCTCTGGTCGTTTGTTCATTTTGTTATGCCTCGGTATAGAAATGGATGTGATAAACTACCAAGAAATTGGTTAGTCCAGCATTAGGTGTAACTAGGTGGCGGTGTATCTGAGTCTAGATTCAGGTGTAACTAGGTGTGGGGTATCTGAGTCCAGATTCAGGTGTAACTAGGTGTGAGGTATCTGAGTCTAGATTTAGGTGTAACTAGGTGTGGGGTATCTGAGTCCAGATTCAGGTGTAACTAGGTGTGAGGTATCTGAGTCCAGATTTAGGTGTAACTAGGTGTGAGGTATCTGAGTCCAGATTCAGGTGTAACTAGGTGGCGGGTCTCTGAGTCCAGATTCAGGTGTAACTAGGTGGCGGGTCTCTGAGTCCAGATTCAGGTGTAACTAGGTGTGGGGTAACTGAGTCCAGATTTAGGTTAACTATAAAGTGCGGGGTATCTGAGTTCAGATTTGGGTTTAACTAGGTGCAGGGTATCTGAGTTCAAATTTAGGTGTGGGGTATCTGAGTCCAGATTTAAGTGTAACTAGGTGCGGGGTATCTGTGATGAAACCTGACAGACCACGGACACCAAAGTCGTAAGATTGTTTTGATTTATTTATTTAAGCATTTTTTATATAGCGTTTACCTTAAAGCTCTAAGCGCTTTACAATTATTAAAAACATGTAAACTAAGCAAAATAAAAAATGAGACACTAGGATAGTAACTTGAAGACAAATATTTATAGACGTAAAAGACATATGTAAGCTAGAGTGGTATTTTTCATTTTTTATTTTGAAAAATGTGCTAAACTAATAACATGCAAATTTATCTATCGAATTGTTGAAACATTAGAATTTTTGTATAATGAATTTTGATTTTGTGATAAGTTTCTAACGTGCAAACAATAGCCTAACTATTGATCAAACCATATCCTCTTTATCCCTTGTAAACCATATCCTAACTATTTATCCCATGTAAACCATATCCTAACTATTTATCCCATGTAAACCGTATCCTAACTATTTACTCCATATCAACCATATCCTAACAATTGATCCCATGCAAATCATATTCTTATAATTGATCCCACGCAAACCATATCCTAACTATTGATCCCTTGCGGCCCCGCACACCAACAAGTCAAAGTCCACAACATGTCATTTCTAAGCGCCCCAATTCAACACTGTTGTACGTGTCAGAAGAACACTACATAGGCTTTGTACCGCCCGATTACAACACAATAGTACATGACGTAATAACACTACTTACGGTGTAAGGGTCTTTCCTCATACATTCATCGTACTCAGAGTCTAACATTTGGTATCTGTAGGGTTCAGTGATGTACACAAATGTCGCCAAGCGATGAATGAAAAAGGACAATCTGTGAAGACGATTAAGATTTGTAAGAAAAAAAAAAATTAGCAATTTAAAAATACAAACTACTCAAATTTGAGAAACTATTTTTAACGCTTGTAATTATTTCTGGAGCTCCAATTGATTTCAGATCGTATCATTTAGTGTGTTTGCAGACGGCCATCTCTCCACCCCACACACACACCCCTTGCACTTTCTACCCTTGATTAGTATTTTCGGATCAACGATGGGGAATATTCAATTGAATATTGATACAACAAAGAGGCTGATGTCTGCATTTGTGCTATCACGCATGGACTATTGCAATGCTCTCATGGTGGGTCTTCCAGCTACGCTCCTGGATAAAATTCAAATAGCACAGAATAATGCGGCTCGCATAGTTCTCCGCAAACGCAAATTCGACCATGCAAAAACACTTCTGAGAGAGTTGCATTGGCTGCCGGTGCGTGCTCGCATAGAGTACAAAATCGCAACTTTGTGCTACCGCTGCTTACATGACCTGGCGCCGTCCTATCTGAAAGAGCTGCTGACGCCTTATGTACCCAGTAGAGAGCTCCGCTCATCCGATAGTGGCAAACTCTCGACACCACGTGTTTGCCTTGAGACTTACGGAAAGCGCACTTTCGCATTTGCTGGTCCAACAATTTGGAACGCCCTTCCTGTCGATCTTAGAAACAACCAGACACTGGAGTCCTTTAAAACCGATCTAAAGACACATCTATTTCGCAAATACCTTCTGGGATGATTGTCTACCTTATTTTCCATGTGTTGCTGTGTTGCTCCGGGTTGAAATGGCTAGAAAGACTTTGATATTGTATGCTTGTAATTAGTTTTTGTAGTGTTGCGTTTGTTTTAAATGTGGTGAATTATAGATATGTTTTTTGTTGACTTTGTACCGCGCTTCGAGCCTTTGGGGATGAAGCGTGTTTTTTAAATGAACTTTATTATTATTATTAATATGTTGTCAGTTGCTATAAATAGACCGATCGAGCCATGGTGATATAAAACAATCAGTGTATGTATCACTTTTGTTGGGGGTCCAGCTACGCATAACACTGCGCCCTTGTTACTTTAACTGTCTCAGCACCCCACCCCTTTTTTTTTCAGCCCTCCTAATCTGGCCCCTTCTAAAAAAGCGAGGAGGTGAGATTGTAGCTCCAGTACTGACGTTTATAAAGATATTTATTAGTCAAGTAGCAACCCATAACCCTATGTAATGTTTGTTGTGAACTACTTTAGGCTGCAGTTAAAGGGAAACAGAAGCTTACTTTACTTTAACTAATTTTAACAAGAATGATCTCCCCCTGCTGATACCTTCATTAACGCCTAAGATTACCTGTGGCTTATAATATGGGATACTGTATGTGAAATTATCAATTACTGACGGATCATGCCCATTAATAGTTATGTTTGGAGGGGACTCAGTTGTGCCTTGACTAATGGTCAGTCCAAACTCGTTACATGCGCATGAGAGGCGATTAACTAACCGCTGCAGACCTTCTTCTGTGTGTGATGTTAAGGCGGCATCGTCGGTGAACAGCAGTTCACGAATTGGCACCTCGCGTCTTTGCAGCAGGGCGGACCAACATATGTAATTATTATGTTGTAAAACTTATATAGACGAAGATGGATGCTATGGCCATATTTTTTTGTGATTTTTAAGTTGAAACACTAACATAATATTCTTCAACTTTTAGCCGGCTATACCGGTCATCACCGGGTTCATGATATGAACTTACTTGGCCACCAATGACATTAACTTATACCGGCCATCACGGGTTCATGACATGAACTTACTTGTCCACCAATGACATGAACTTATACCGGCCATCACCGGGTTCATGACATGAACTTACTTGGCCACCAATGAAATGAACTTATACCGGTCATCACCGGGTTCATGACATGAACTTACTTGGCCACCAATGACATGACCTATACCGGTCATCACCGGGTTCATGACATGAACTTACTTGGCCACCAATGACATGACCTTACACCGGCCATCATCGGGTTCATGACATGAACTTACTTGGCCACCAATGACATGAACTTATACCGGCCATCACCGGGTTCATTGCATCCATGGGGTTTTGATTCCTTTTGTATTGTTGCCTGTGTTTCAATTGAAGCACACTCTTTCTGTTAACTGTTCCATTATTTAACAATGCTATTGAATACATCAATGTGACCTACTTGGGGCATGGTAGAGTGTAGTTGTAACCCCCTTGTACACACCAGACGTAGAATTTGCAGGTGTTTGGAGCAGGCATATATCCGGGACCATTCTGCTCGCAAGTAGCTAGGGAAAAATATTGATATTAAAATGTTATGTTTCAAAAGCTTGCAATGTCTCACCATTTAACTGTTCTAATCGTAAATGTTGTGGGCTCATTAACCTGTCTTGCATTATACCAATTTTCTCAGGCGGAGTATTTAGACACATCGGAGAACATCATTTATAATAGTGTCAAACACATTCCTATTTACTGGATCCGCCGCTGACACGAACTTACTTAACCACCAATGACATGAACTTACTTGGCCACCAATAACATGAACTTACTTGGCCACCAATAACATGAACTTACTTGGCCACCAATGACATGAACTTACGTGGCCACCAATAACATGAACTTACTTGGCCACCAATGACATGAACTTACGTGGCCACCAATAACATGAACTTACTTGGCCACCAATGACATGAACTTACTTGGCCACCAATGACATGAACTTACTTGGCCACCAATGACATGAACTTACTTGGCCACCAATGACATGAACTTACTTGGCCACCAATGACATGAACTTACTTGGAGTTTTGGGTACGGTCGTCTCGGAGCATCCGTTTGGAAGTGGAACATTTTCTTTAAGTTCACACCAGGTAGTTCTGTTATTAAATCTGTAGCCAACTTGACAGTCCATTACAACGGCTGCCTGTCCTGTAATTTGTAAATTGTAGATTATGTAGTTAAATAGCATGGAGTAAATCATATTTCAGTAATTGTAGTTATATTTTGATTTTTGGATTATTACATTCTCAACTCTATTGATCATTGCCAAGATTGATTGATTTTTTATATTTTATTATTTTGAATCTTTAAAAAAAATAAAAAAAATAATTGTTTATTTTAATGCCTTAAATAAGGAAATGTAAGAACTAGATTTTTCAGGATTATTGTAAGGGGCATTCTAAACACTTCTTTTCGCCAGTTAAAAATATCGTATTGTTGTATTCGATAAATCCCGTTTTCAATACTCAGTATTAATAATTAATGTAATTTAAATTTTATGTTTTTTACCTTTGGTCTTTTAATACTAGAAAGATGATGGTCTATTATTCAAATATCCATAATAAAATTTAATTGGAACAGTTCATTGAAAATAACCCATAAAATACAAATGTGTATGTCAATCATTCGTGTCAGTACTCGTTAAGATAATCATCATAATGACCTTTCCAGCAGACGATGTATTTCGTAAGGTCACAGGCACTGGCGGGCAATCCAACAACCTGGTTGTTCTCAGGGGAGGTGCACAAAGCGTTGTAATCTGTGGTCAGAGAGTGGACAATGAAAGGAATAAGGAGATGCTATATAGAATTTTATTACGGTTGTGAAAAGGGTGGGGGGTGAAAGAGGCACCCGACCCGTGCGCCATCTTAGTGGGCGACAAAATCCCTTGTCATGAACAATAGTTGTATTCTTCTATATGTTTATGGGAAGAGGGCGCCTAAATTGCCCCAGGCACATCTTTTGCTTACCTGATTGTAGTTACTATAGTTTTATGTAATGAAATACTATATCTCTAGGGCATGAAATACTATATCTCTAGGGTATGGAATACTATATCTATAGGGCATGAAATACTATATCTCTAGGGTATGGAATACTATCTCTCTAGGGCATGAAATACTATATCTCTAGGGTATGGAATACTATATCTCTAGGGCATGAAATACTATATCTCTAGGGTATGGAATACTACATCTCTAGGGCATGAAATACTATATCTCTAGGGCATGAAATACTATATCTCTAGGGTATGGAATACTATCTCTCTAGGGCATGAAATACTATATCTCTAGGGTATGGAATACTATATCTCTAGGGCATGAAATACTATATCTCTAGGGTATGGAATACTATATCTCTAGGGCATGAAATACTATATCTCTAGGGTATGAAATACTATATCTCTAGGGCATGAAATACTATATCTCTAGGGTATGAAATACTATATCTCTAGGGTATGGAATACTATAACTCTAGGGTGTGAAATACTACATATCTAGGGTATGAAATACTATATCTCTAGGGTATGGAATACTATATCTTTTGGGTATGAAATACTGTTTCTCTAGGGTAGGAAAAACCACATCTCTAAGGTATAAAATCGAGCAAGTAACAACACATGGTGAACAAAATATGTTCTTGTTGTTCAAAAACAGATTATAAACACTCACTTAACGAATTATTTTTGTATCTTAATGAACTCATGACTCACCTGCTCTGCTGCCCAACAGAAGCTCATAGGCAAAGGTTGACTGGGCAAAGACTGCTACTGTTAGTAGTGAGAAAATTGCTGTTGCTCCCATTGTATCTTCTTTTTATCTTTTTTTCTGTTTTTTTTTTAAAATAGTTCTTTCTTTGTTGTTCTGTTGTCTGTGAATGTAAAGTGGCTGAGTTACTCGAATGATAAATGTCATTGAATCTATAACAAAACTGCCTTGAGCTTTCGCGGAGATGAATTCACACTACAGTTAACTAAGACACGTTTCGGGAGTCACAGATATGCGGTGAAAAGATTTATATCAATTTATTTAAAACATTAAATCTTAATTTACACATATTTGTTTGTCAACAAATGTTTAATTTTCTTGAAGAATTGTTTGCTACTGTACATCGAAAACTCTCTCTCTCACACTGATTGTAATGAATAAATCCAGATTACGAATATAAATTCACAGGGTACAAAAAAGCACAGTTTTTAAATATTATATTTAGCAACGGTGAAAAAAAAAATTCTAAGGCTACACCAAGTAGTTGCAGCATCAATACTGCTAGCAATGACACACATTCGCGTGAAGATGAAACATAACATTAACTTTGTCTACTTATGACTTTATTTTGTATTTTTTAAAAACATTTCCCCCCCCCTCCAAAAAAAAATATGTACTTACTGTAAAATTTACTTATTTCGCAATGGGTGTTCTGCCAGTGGCTTTTCAGCAAAGTTCTAACTGTAGATGGTTTCAAAAAGGTCTTATATACCCCCGGGTGGGCCTTACTGCGACTGCAAGAGCATCTTCCTGGAGGAGTGGCCACACCCCAATTCACCTGAGCAAACATTGGTGTGTGCACAATTCTGTTGGATGTCCGGATTGTCAAGTCTAAGACACTTCACATCAAGCTGCGGTTGTGGTTTTCTCTCTCTCTCTCTTCCTCTTAGATGGTAGAGGACGATAATTTGTATGCGTAATATTTGTCATCTCCCCCTGACTGTTTACTTATGGGCGAATGAGTCAAATGAAGACTCGGCGCCCACATAAAAGCCCATATTATTTAGTCGTCCGAAAGAGACGTGGGCATGCAGGGATAAGAGAGCGTGTTTAAGTAAAATGATTAATGTCTTTACGGGGGTTGACAATATTATGTTACTCTCAAGTCAGCCGTCAAGTCAGCCGTCAAGTCAAGTCAGCCGTCAAGTGAGCCGTCAAGTCAAGTCAGCCTGAGATATTTCTTAATTACCGGCACACTTCGCTTTACCAACAGGTTTTCAGCACGATTGACGTCACGGTCTATGTAAGGGTTGCTGATTCGTCAATGATTACTCCGGTCATGACGTCATAATTGACAAGTCGGGGCGTATCTTAGCTAAAATTAGTTGGGGTTTCCTCATAAAATGATTTCCATGCTTAGGTAATAATACTTCCATATGCAGCATTGGTTGCTTAGATTCCTCCAGTTATTCATCTTTCTCATCTTTTTCTAGTTTGAATGTCGTTTTTAAAAATTTTAATGAAATTAATTTTACAAGGAAACCACTCCCAGATTTGAGATTACTTGTTTTTAACAAATAATAAGAAAAAATTGTAAAAAAATCTTACTCTTAAGTCTGTAAAGTACAAGTATTGGGAGGTCTGTGTGTACATGTATTGGGAGGTCTGTGTGTACAAGTATTGGGAGGACTGTGTGTACAAGTATTGGGAGGTCTGTGTGTACAAGTTTTGGGAGGTCTGTGTGTACAGTACACGTATGGGGACTCCCGTTACAAGGGTGACGGTTGGTTCAACTTTGGCTTAGGCAGTGTAGTATGGGATGAGAATATGAAATCCCTAAGTGGTGGGCTTAAAGACGTATGCGAAATGGCTATGATCATACAGGTATTTAGTCCACTTAATCTGTGTGTCTGTGTATTCTGTATTGTAGACGGAAGGCACATGCCCTAAATTAGCAAAACTCTCTATCGTAGGTGGGCATGTGAGATTTTTTTTTTACCCTCATGTTAGAAATATCTGATGTTTAAATAGTAGAGATATTAATGGAGAGTATTTTAAAAGCGCTTTTGGTTGCTATTGAATAAATGTCCTTTTTCTCTTCCAACATGTTTGTATTTCCGTTTTTATCATTATTAATTGCACGCTTTATCTTTAAAAAAAAATGGTGTCTTCCAATCCTCAAGCAGTAAACATTTAGAAAATACATTGGGGACACCTGCGATTTTCAACAGGGGAGACACGGAATCATGAGACACCTCAACGTTGCTTAAAGTGTGTCACGATATGTTATCTGAACTTTGGACCCATCATAATTTGTTTATACGGTAATGTATAGGTTTCTAATTTATGGATAACTGTACTTTGTACATTACATAAGTTACCAGTAGCATCTAAGGCGCGAATCCTAGAATTTCTCATTGATTTCTAGAAAATCCACAAGACATCAATGATTCTGAAACATACTTCACAAGACAGACATCTGACGCGGGGCTCATTCCACTAGGGAGATGAGTATTGCTTCAGAGTTATATATATAAGCATTATATACACAATTATACACTTTTTCTTGTTTAAAATTGAAATTCCGATTCCCTCATAATCGTTGGTGTAAGTTTGTTAGTTGTTCTTTTTTGTTGTTGTTTTTTTTTTTGGAGGGGGGGGCATGTTGTGTTTTTTTTGTGGCATTTTTACAAAATTCGTGGTGGGGGGGGGTTAAAATATTCTTTTATTATCATCAAAATACAAGTTAAGCGTTAAAGTAATATTTTCAAGCCATATTGTCAATGTTATCTTGAGATCGTGTGGTCTTTTAATTTGGCCATTGACATTACTAACAAGACCTGGGACTCATTGGGATCTCATGTGGAATATAAAACGTATGTCCAAGTTAATAGTCAGGTTAACCGCATGTCTGGAATGATTGATGGCATGGACATTGTATATCCACGTTGATAGCAAAGTCGACAGCATGTCACGGATGAGTAAATGGCATGGAAAACGTATGTCCAAGTTAATTAATGAAGTAAACCGCATGTCCGGAATGATTGAATGTGTTGTCTTTTTAGTATTTGAAGCTGAAGAATACCATATGTGAGCATCCCCGCTGTTAAAGCTGAAGAATACCATATGTGAGCATCCCCGCAGTTAAAGCTGAAGAATACCATACGTGAGCATCCCCGCTGTTAAAGCTGAAGAATACCATACGTGAGCATACCCGCTGTTAAAGCTGAAGAATACCATACGTGAGCATCCCCGCTGTTAAAGCTGAAGAATACCATATGTGAGCATCACGGCTGTTAAAGCTGAAGAATACCATATGTGAGCATCATGGCTGTTAAAGCTGAAGAATACCATTTGTGAGCATCACGGCTGTTAAAGCTGAAGAATACCATATGTGAGCATCACGGCTGTTAAAGCTGAAGAATACCATATGTGAGCATCACGGCTGTTAAATTTAGCAAGGGAAATTATGTTGTAACTGATTTACTGGGAAATAAAACACCTGTGCGTGTTATGTTGGCTTAAGTTAAACAAGACGCATAATTTGAGATGATATGTCATTGATGAGGGTGGGCAGTCTGCGGCCCGCTGAAACGTTTAATGCGGCACGCTTTGCTTTCCGGAGACCTGATTAATACTATATTCGTAAAATGTTCAAATAGGAAAAAAGTTCTGCAAAGTCTTAACAAAATTAAGCCCAGTGTTAAATTTAAATTTTCCAAATTCAATAATAATCACGGCTACAAAAATAATGTCATTGCTTACTATACGTATAATGACATATATAAAAAGTAAACCTTTTATTCTCTGAAAAATCTGGTCGAGCTAAAAAGCCCAGAGATTTTATAACCTTTGGGATTAAGTGCTCAAAAATATTAAATTGACGAGCTTGGGACTCACAACCACACTGCGTTTGGGGCTCCAACTCAAATATTAATGAAAGGCCGTTTAAAGGAAAATCACTCATTGCATCAAAGTTGATCATCTAGATGTTCTTTTGTGTGCTAACGGTGCGTACGTGATCAAGCGCTCGGCGGGGTAAGCGTCGAATTAAAGCGCAGCATGGTGCGCAATGAGAGCGGAGCGGACCAGATCCACTCAGGAATTATTATTATAGATACTAGCTGTGGCCCGCCAAACAAGGGTGACAAGCAATGCGCTAACTGCCCATCTACTACAGTTGGTTAACAAAACATGCGTTCAAGGAACACACTTTATAAGGTTCCCGTCAGTGTTCCCCCAACCCCTGTACGCCACGATTCATAAACTATGTTAATTTTCTAATGTCCCACTCTCTTGTCACCGCAGATTTATTTCCGTAAAACAAAAGTAAACATTACGCACCAAACTGACGTGCAGTATTTTTTAGAATATCATTTAGCGCAATTATCGGGAATTTTATTTTGCGCCCTATTGAACCTTAACGTTAGTGGCGGATAGTGTTACACAGACAATTATGTATGTTGTTTCCAATCTTTTCTCCATAGCACACGCACTTGATATTCTAAGATTGCTAGAAAAATATCTTGCGAAACCACCAAAAAATAATAATTTAAATGTGGCTCCTCTGCACACGAAAAGGCTGTACATATCTTGTATGGAGTCATAATTCATTTAATGAAACGAGTGACTTTCTTGTCAATAATTTTTAGTCGAGCTAAAACTATATTTTCTGTAAAGAGCTCCGTGATGTTACCATGAGATGAGGCAGTAGTGATCAAGGAGCAAGTAACAACATCATATTTGTTGACGCTTGAAAAGAGACGGGACGAGAAAAGTAGGTACAAACTTATGTACGTAGACTTTTCTATGGTCGCCTGCCAATCATAATTAAATTGATTTAAGACCTTACCCTATTATTTTTTTTTTTAAAAGTACCGTGAACGATCAAATCGTGAGCTGTATAAAACAGATCACGCCAGCACCATATTCGTTTAACAGTGCAGCCTTTGGGTAGAAAATAGTTCGCCTCTTTTCAACTTAATTAATTTTTTTAATAATAGTAATAATAATAATCACATTGAATGCAGGTTTTGGGATACGAAACAAATTTATGATTAACTTGAAAAAAAAAACAACATGAACACATAACAATTAAAACCTTAGATGGCATGAAGCATACATTTTATTTGTTCAAGGAGGCGCTCGTTACTGTACAGTTGTGTTATAGGTGTAAATGTTCAAGATTCAACGTAAGTCAAGTATACCAGTTTCTTTTTTCTTCAGAATTCTGTAGGAAAGTCTCCAAATGTTATGGCAACTGTTACGTGGATGATTTGGTTCATTGTTATCGCTAGTAAAACATTTTATTGGTGTTGGTAGAACATTCTCTTGGTGTTCTTATAACATTATATTGATTTGGTAGAATATTTTATTGATGTTGGTAGAACATTATATTGATTTTGTAGAACATTCTATTGATGTTGGTGGATCAATTTTACCGCCTTCCTGACCTGAGTTGCTCCGCCTGAAAGAAGAAATCAAATAGCAAGATTAATTATAGTGTAAGGAAAATGTGCTCATTTAGTGTCACATGTAGTGTCACATGTAGTGTCACATGTAGTGTCACATGTAGTGTCACATATAGTGTCACATCTAGTGTCGCATGTAGTGTCGCATGTTTGACACATATTTTTCACATGTAGTGTCACATATTTGTCCCTTGAGTGTTCAAGGATTTTGTTCAAATGAAAGTGTAGAGCAGACTCTAAATCTTATTGATTTTAATGCATGGCTTTGTAAACAAATTGTTTGAAAACGATTTCTATATGTTTTACTAGGTATCGATATAATGAGTCGGAGATTCTATTCAACTCCTTTCAATGCTTTAAAAGCTGTTTTGTGCCAACACCCCTTCCAGCAAGAGACAGCCTTTGAAGTGTCTCCCCTTCTAAAAAAAAATGTTCCTATACATCTGTTTAGATGTTAACATCATCATCATCATCAGTGGCGCTACAGCCCATGTAGGGCGGATGCCAGCAAAAAAAAAAAGCAACATGGGTGTGGCCATTATATGTTACCTGGACCGACGGGGAGGCGACCATTGCCCTGGACTGTCTTGGCCAGCTTTACGTGTTTCATGTTCGGTGGCCACCTTTACGTGTTTCATGTTCAGTGGCCACCTTTACGTGTTTCATGTTCAGTGGCCACCTTTACGTGTTTCATCTTCAGTGGCCACCTTTACGTGTTTCATCTTCAGTGGCCACCTTTACGTGTTTCATGTTCGGTGGCCACCTTTACGTGTTTCATGTTCGGTGGCCACCTTTACGTGTTTCATGTTCGGTGGCCACCTTCACGTGCTTCATGTCCGAGAATCCTCAAAACGATTGCACGATTTCCCTGATAGAAACTGAAAGACAGTGCTGCCATGTTTGTCTGCTTGTCGATGTGGACAACTGGTTTTTTTTTGTGTGGACATAATATTAAAAGCTAAGCCAAACTCACTGTGTATGCATCTTTAGCCTGACAATCGGCGAAGGTCTCTGGTGGGATGTCATCAAGGAAAGGGGCAAAGGCGTAGATGCACCTTTCTTTTGCAGGAACGAAGTAGGATGGTCTGGGCAAAGAAACGAGCGAAAACATAATACAGTAATAATAATCGATTAAAGATTTAATGATTAATGATTTGCACTTGAAAAGATTGGAGGCTAGAGGATAAATAATTGTATTCTTTATTTTTCAATAGATTATAAGAATAGTTTTAAATCTGCAATATTTCATCTCCATAAGAATTCCTTTTTTTTCTTTCTTTTTTTAGAGAATAAATTATTATTCTTTTCTCATATCATCATTCTGAGTTTACGAAATCATTTTTCACGGGTAATAGTAAAATTTGTCACTAAGTTTGTAGGAAAAAATGTGTTTTGATAAGCTTTGATCTAAAATGTTCCAGACATGCAGACTAAACTTTATTTAAGATATATTATCCTTAAAAAATGACGGCTGTTCGCATGAACTAAATATTTTAGATTTGAGCTTATCAAAACTCTAACCATTTCAGATTGAAATGAAGAAGATACTTATAAGGAGATAATAGATATTAATTTTTTTTAGATATGAAAGCTTCCCTTTAGCTTCCACTTGTTTCTACTTTGCACAAGTTTGTGATGATTTTTGTCCACGTCATTTTTAACGGATTATCTATAGTATTTTCACATTTCTCACGTGAATCTACTTTACGTACTAAACATCCGTATTTATTTTGCTTAAAATCACGGTTAAGCTTATTGTTGGGGGAGTTTTCTTTTAAACAGGAGAAGATTACCAAATCTATACTCTCATATATATAACCTCTGTCTTCTCAGAGGAAGTGTGGTGGGGGTCTAAGGTTGCATTCAGAACAAGAGACCCCTGACTTCATATTCAAAGTACAAAAGTTGGCTTAATAAACGCACGTTGTGTAACACACATTTAGAACTTGACATTATTTGCATCGGAACCTATGGTGAGCTTATTCAAGCATAGTTAATAACATATTAACCATAAGTATGTCTTTTTAGTGGCGTACATTGACGGTCGCCCCCTTCAGCTTTTATTTATGAACACTTTTCCTCAAAATTTGACTATCTTTGATTAGTTCAACTTACAGGGGGCAAGTCATTGTGTAGTTATATCCTCCAGGCATACAAAGGGTGTATTTCTTGCAGGTGGAATTCATGGCCACGTAAGTGGCTCCTTGCTCCAAACAGGAAACTAAAAATACATTTGCAACAAATTATTCAGAACAGTAACTCTCAAATTGGGCAGCACCAAGCTGTCCGGGTTAAAGGGGGGGGGGGGAGGCGGGGGGGGGGGGGAGGCTGTAAAATTCTCAAGAGAGTTGAGGGGCGCTGGAACTATCTAAGGGAGCAGTGTGGTTGTTTAGCAAAGAAATATTAAGCCTCATTTAAGAAAGTATTGATTTACCTTAAACCAGACATTTAACTAATGTTATCACTTTACTACGCCCACCCGAAGCACACAGAAAAGTTGAGTAAAAGAAGTAAGTTAATATCACTAAATGCCCAAGCATAATACCTATAGCGTCAGTTCACACGAGCGAATTTTCGATTATGCATTTGATGCGATTCTTGTATGAAGCCTTGTCACACCTTGCAAATTACTACTTGATCAAATTCCCATCTTTGTCCAAAAAAAACCAAGAAACCACGCACAAAATAGTACGTTCGTACACTAATTTGAAGCGAAATTTGAAGCTAATTTGATCGTGTGAACTGACGCTAAAAAAGATGTGATACACTTGATCAAGTGGATACATTTATAAATTGATAAATAAGTCAATTGAAGTAAAAAATCTTTTGCTTCATTTTAATTAAAAGTTCAAACATATCTTTTAGTCAATTTTAGAATTTATTGTAGCTTTATATTCGTTTCATAGTTGTGCAAACTTGAATGACCACTCTCTTCTCATTCCTAATCAGTCGGCCTATAAGATCTTTTCACAGCACAGAGACAGCTCTCTTGATAGCGAGTTACCTCTTGCTTGCTTTGGACAGAGGTGACGTCTCCATCCTGATCCTCTTAGATCTCAGTGCGGCCTTGGACACTGGTGACCATTAAACCCCTTTCAAAACCCTTGAAAATTACTTTGGAATTTTCGGTTCAGTTTGTTGGTTGCTGGCGGTTGCTGGCGGTTGCTGTTGATGGCTGTCTCTCCGGTATTGCTGACTAGGTGTACGCAGTGCCTCAGAGGCCCCTTTTGGGTCCGGTCCTGTTCACAATGAATACCAGGCCACTTCTCCTCCTGCATGGGGAATGCTGTCGAGAGCCAGTCATTCTCAGGTGACACGCAACTATAAAAGCACACCCATCCGTCTCTTGTCGATCCCGTAATCCACACCACGCAGGAGGGCATTGGTGACGTCAAGTCATGGATGATTTTCAGCTAGTGAAGCTGAACGATGACAATACGGAAGCACTCCTCATTTACAATCATGAATCATCCTCTAACTCAGCTCTCCCTACTTCGTTTCAAGTAGGTAGCTCCGACATACAGTTCACATCCTCTGCTAGGAATTCTTGGTTACATTCTTTATGATAACATGTCTCTTAATAATCATGTTTCTCACATCTTTCGCTTTGCGTACACCGCTATCCGTCAGAACAGCTCCATCCGCCACTACCTCACAGTTAACGCAACCAAAACACTAGTCAGTGCTCTTGTCCTCTCTCGTCTTGACTATTGTAACTCTCTTCTGTCAGGTTCACCAAAACATTTTTTTTTAAACTGCAAAAAGTTCAAAATTAAGCAGCTAAGTTAGTTCTGAAGGCAAAGAAACGTGATCACGTCACTCTACTACCTTACTCACTCCATGTGCTCCCTTTACAGGCAGGCATTGATTACAAGCTGTCTGTTCTCTGTCACAACTTTATCTCTGGTTTCACCCCCCCCCCTTTTTTCCTATCTTACTGAACTTCTTTCTGTCTATTCACCCCTTCGAAAGCTTCGTTCCTCCGTAGACACTCGTGTTCTTTCTGTTCCTAAGACACGCACTAAAACATACGGTGAAAGATCGTTCTCTTTCCGTGCCCCCTAACAATGGTATTCTCTCCCATTACACATCCGCAATTTACCGACCATCCAAGACTTCAAAACTGCCCTCAAGCCACATCTCTTCAAGCTCTAAAATACTGACTCATTTCACACCCCCCCCCCCCCACCTAACAATGGTATTCTCTCCCATTACACACCCGCAATTTACCGACCATCCAAGACTTCAAAACTGCCCTCAAGCCACATCCCTTCAAGCTCTAAAATACTGACTCATTTCACCCCCCCCCCCCCCGATTCTGACGAACAACGCTCGATGCTGCTGGGAGCCGCCCCTGGCTAGACAGGGGTAGAAAGTACTTGTATGGGTGCCGTCCATGGCTAGACAGGGGTAGAAAGTACTTGTGTGGGTGCCGTCCATGGCTAGACAGGGGTAGAAAGTACTTGTGTGGGTGCCGTCCATGGCTAGACAGGGGTAGAAAGTACTTGTGTGGGTGCCATCCATGGCTAGACAGGGGTAGAAAGTACTTGTGTGGGTGCTGTCCATGGCTAGACAGGGGTAGAAAGTACTTGTGTGGATGGGGTCAATAGTTTTTCAAAGCTGTTTTTAAATTATAATTTTCCGTAACTGCTAATTTTTATTTGAAGCGCTATGCGCCTAGCCCTAGGCTGAGATACTGCACTATATAAGACCGCTTTAATAATAATAATAATAATATACAGAAAAGCAATGAACTATGTTTCGGATGATTGATTAAAATGTCATGACATAAGAATAGAAAAAATGGTGTTATTTGTAAATATATGTTTTACTCTTTAAGAGCAATAGTCTCGTTAAATTTCTAGAACTTAAAATAAAGGTACCCTAGTGTGATGGGATTGACTTATACCCCACCCATCAAAAAAAAAAAGAACCATGGTGAGAAGGGAGTGACTTCCATCAAAACATCAGAACCCTCACTTGATAGAAGTTATTTAATTCCGGCTCATCACTTTATGTCACATAAAACTGAACAAGTCGTTACAGTTACCTGGGTAACGGTTAGCTGTTTGATTGTTAGTGGCCTAATTTGATTACACAGTTACCTGGGTAAGGGTTGGCTGTTTGATTGTTATTGGCCTAATTTGATTACACAGTTACCTTGGTAAGGGTTGGCTGTTTGATTGTTAGTGGCCTAATTTGATTACACAGTTACCTGGGTAAGGGTTGGCTGTTTGATTGTTAGTGGCCTAATTTGATTACACAGTTACCTTGGTAAGGGTTGGCTGTTTGATTGTTAGTGGCATTATTTGATTACACAGTTACCTGGATAACGGTTAGCTGTTTGATTGTTAGTGGCCTTATTTGATTACACAGTTACCTGGGTAACGGTTGGCTGTTTGATTGTTAGTGTCCTTATTTGATTATATAGTTACATGGGTAACGGTTGGCTGTTTGATTGTTAGTGTCCTTATTTGATTACACAGTTAAGTGGGTAACGGTTGGCTGTTTGATTGTTAGTGTCCTTATTTGATTACATAGTTACCTGGGTAACGGTTGGCTGTTTGATTGTTAGTGTCCTTATTTGATTACATAGTTACCTGGGTAACGGTTGGCTGTTTGATTGTTGACGCAGCCGCTTGGAAGTGGAACATTGCTTGCAGCGTCACACCAGCCTGTGGCGTTGTTGAACCTCTCGTTAATACCACACCTATTGATGGCTTTAGCCACACCTGTGTACAACAGAAATGACTGGTTAAAGAACCTTGAGAGAAAGTACTGGATAAAGGACATTGAGAGAAAGTACTGGATAAAGAACATTGAGAGAAATGATTGGTTAAAGGACATTGAGAGAAATGACTGGTTAAAGGACATTGAGAGAAATGACTGGTTAAAGGACATTGAGAGAAATGACTGGTTAAAGAACCTTGAGAGAAATTACTGGTTAAAAAAAATTGAGAGAAATGAGTGGTGACAGAAAATTTAGAGGAATGAATGGTGAAAGGATATTGAGAGAAATGACTGGTTAAAGAACCGTGAGAGAAAAGACTGGTTAAAGAACATTGAGAGAAATGACTGGTTAAAGGAAATTGAGAGAAATGACTGGTTAAAGGACATTGAGAGAAATGACTGGTTAAAGAACCTTGAGAGAAATTACTGGTTAAAAAAAATTGAGAGAAATGAGTGGTGACAGAAAATTTAGAGGAATGAATGGTGAAAGGATATTGAGAGAAAAGACTGGTTAAAGAACCGTGAGAGAAAAGACTGGTTAAAGAACATTGAGAGAAATGACTGGTTAAAGGACATTGAGAGAAATGACTGGTTAAAGGACATTGAGAGAAATGACTGGTTAAAGAACCTTGAGAGAAATTACTGGTTAAAACAAATTGAGAGAAATGAGTGGTGAAAGGATATTGAGAGAAAAGACTGGTTAAAGAACCTTGAGATAACCAAAAGGTCTGAATTAATGATGATGATAATGCAAAAATTTGGTGAATTGCATTTTCGAGGACACAAATGGCATAGATGGCATAGATGAGATAGCTGCCATGGATGGCATAGATGGCATAGATGGCATAGATGGCATAGATGGCATAGATGGCATAGATGGCATAGATGGTATAGATGGCATAGTTGGCATAGATGGCATAGATGGCATAGATGGCATAGATAGCAGAGTGTTGAATATTTGTCATCTTTAATCAAAACTGTCAAAAATAATGTCTGCTATATCTCCCAGTGAATGGAAAGTAGTGTCAACTATACCTCCCAGTGAATGGAAAGTAGTGTCAGCTATATCTCCCAGTGAATGGAAAGTAGTGTCAACTATACCTCCCAGTGAATGGAAAGTAGTGTCAACTATACCTCCAAGTGAATGGAAAGTAGTGTCAACTATACCTCCCAGTGAATGGAAAGTAGTGTCAACTATACCTCCCAGTGAATGGAAAGTAGTGTCAACTATACCTCCCAGTGAATGGAAAGTAGTGTCAACTATACCTCCCAGTGAATAAAAAGTATAAAATCTAAAGCAGGTGCAAGCACACCATGGTCTATGACGTCATCGGAATAAAATTAAAATATGGAACGACTACAAAGCAGACACGTAAAATATTGATGTAATGATGCAAGCACAGATCATATTTTGTTGATTTTTACACTATTTTGCAATGAACTGCTACTGCGGAATACTGCTGATGAAATTGTTCTAGAAAAAGATGTTTTTTTAAAATTATAAAACGTATAGGGTTTGTCATTTAATGGCGGAAAATTTATTAAAAGAACATCCAGACAAACAGTCTGACCAAGCTCTTTAAATGACGTAAAGATATGAGTACAACATCCTGGTATTCCGTTTGGCCAATCTCTCAACATCTGTTCGGTACTTCTAAGTTCACGTGAGCCAGCAAAGTGAGTCTTAATTTAGACACAAAGGTGTTTACGACTGTATTTTAGGAATTATTTTAAAAATAAATTGTTACTGCTCTATATATGCGTAAGTACTTTGTTAAAAGCCGTATTTTACGAAAAACGTTGTCTAAAAATAGTAACATTACGTAAAGCGATGTGACGTTTTCCGGTCTTATAAATGACCAACCCTATTGCCTTCAACGTAGTGATTGCGTAGGTGCTGGTGCTGATGTTGGATGTGGGCAATGTTGGATGACCATAGGATGACTTGTGACCAACAGCTGGCTACACAAATACAATGGTGGAAGCATTGGATGGGGGGGGGGGCCGTGCCGATGAACATTCGCAAAGGATGAAGCAAGTGTGTCAAGATGATATAAATAAGTGAAATAAAAACCTTAAAGGCACAAATTTTAAAAATAATAACTCGGAGGATATTCAAAATACAATGGTGGAAGCATTGGATGGGGGGGGGGGGCCGTGCCGATGAACATTCGCAAAGGATGAAGCAAGTGTGTCAAGATGATATAAATAAGTGAAATAAAAACCTTAAAGGCACAAATTTTAAAAATAATAACTCGGAGGATATTCGAGAGGATATAAGTCATTGTCACTTTGACTCCGAAGTACATTGTCACTTTGACTCCAAAGTACATTGTCACTTTCACTCCGAAGTACATTGTCACTTTGACTCCGAAGCACATTGTCACTTTGATTCCGAAGTACATTGTCACTTTGACTCCGAAGTACATTGTAACTTTGACTCCGAAGTACATTGTCACTTTCACTCCGAAGTACATTGTAACTTTCACTCCGAAGTACATTGTCACTTTCAATCCGAAGTACATTGTCACTTTCAATCCGAAGTACATTGTCACTTTCAATCCGAAGTACATTGTCACTTTCAATCCGAAGTACATTGTCACTTTCACTCCGAAGTACATTGTCACTTTCACTCTGAAGTACATTGTCACTTTGACTCCAAAGTACATTGTCACTTTCGCTCCGAAGTATATTGTCACTTTCACTCCAAAGTACATTGTTACTTTCAATCCGGAGTACATTGTAACTTTCATTCCGAAGTACATTGTCACTTTCACTCCGAAGTACATTGTCACTTTCACTCCGAAGTACATTGTCACTTTCACTCCAAAGTACATTGTAACTTTCACTCCGAAGTACATTGTCACTTTAACTCCGAAGTACATTGTCACTTTCATTCCGAAGTACATTGTCACTTTCATTCCGAAGTACATTGTCACTTTCACTCCGAAGTGCAATGTCACTTTGACTCTGAAGTACATTGTCACTTTCACTCCGAAGTACATTGTCACTTTCACTCCGAAGTACATTGTCACTTTCACTCCGAAGTACATTGTCACTTTCACTCAGAAGTACATTGTCACTTTCACTCCAAAGTTCATTGTCACTTTCACTCCGAAGTTCATTGTCACTTTCAATCCGACGTTCATTGTCACTTTCACTCCGAAGTACATTGTCACTTTCACTCCGATGTACATTGTCACTTTCACTCCGAAGTGCTATGTCACTTTGACTCCGAAGTACATTGTCACTTTCACTCCAAAGTACATTGTCACTTTCACTCCGAGGTACATTGTCACTTTGACTTCGAAGGACATTGTCACTTTTACTCCGAAATACATTGTCACTTTCATTCCGAAGTTCATTGTCACTTTCAATCCGAAGTTCATTGTCACTTTCACTCCGAAGTACATTGTCACTTTCACTCCGAAGTACATTGTAACTTTCACTCCGAAGTATATTGTCACTTTCACTCCGAAGTTCATTGTCACTTTCACTCCAAAGTACATTGTCACTTTCACTCCAAAGTACATTGTCACTTTCAATCCGAAGTTCATTGTCACTTTCACTCCGAAGTACATTGTCACTTTCACTCCGAAGTACATTGTCACTTTCACTTCGAAGTTCATTGTCACTTTCACTCCGATGTACATTGTCACTTTCACTCTGAAGTGCTATGTCACTTTGACTCCGAAGTACATTGTCACTTTCACTCCAAAGTACATTGTCACTTTCACTCCGAAGTACATTGTTACTTTCACTCCGAAGTACATTGTCACTTTCACTCCGAAGTACATTGTCACTTTGACTCCGAAGTTCATTGGCTTTCACGATGTTAGATTCTGCCGATTTCATGTTGATCAAAACATGCTTAATCTACATCAGCTTCTCGGAGATTATCACGCGAAGGTCACAATTGAAAAAATGGCCGATTTGTGTGAAAATATGAAATAAATCTATTCAAAATGCAAGGTGGAAATGATCATTTCATAGCGTGCTCCAATATGTATGTGCCGACCACTATTTATATATGGGAAAACAATAAGATAAAAACATTGAGAACATTTTTGGAAGGTGAAGAGGGTGGGGAGAGGATGTGAGGTGTAGCAGTTGTGGGAATCAGTGTGTGTATGGAGTGCTGGAGATGGAAGGAGCGAAGATGTGGGGGAGGTTTGTGGGGTTTGGGGGGATGGTAGTATGGGGGGGGGTGAGGATGTAAATGTTGGTTGGTATGCCTTAGATTTTAAGGGTTAGGGAGAAAGGTCATTTTGGAATAGGTGGTTGGGTTATAATGGATATAACAAGTGGATTGGGTGGAGAATTGGTGGGTGGGTGAAAGGCCCCGAAAATGCCCACTGGACGTCTTTAAATAACAGATTATAGATTGTATGAAGGCGTGCCTTCAAAGATAACCACGGTACACCGGCTGAACTTTCTGGTCTTTATATCGAGGATGCCGGAGGCACCTTACACCTTTGTATGATAACTATAAATAGTTTTTAAAAAATTTTTGTCTTGCCTATTTGATGGTGTCGGAGACAAGAGATTGTTTACTCACCCTCCCAGCACATGATGTAACCACGAGCGTCGCACAACTGTGGAGGTAGAGATACGACAGCGTATCTCGTGCTATTAGGACAGAGGGCGTTGTATTCTGTGGATAGTAGACAGGCTTTAGGGTTACATGGTCATACAAGGGTGTTTTAAAAATTGAACTGGTTATATAATATATGCCGCTGAAAGAAAGCCACTTACCTATCAATTAAAGCCACATACGTATCAAAGCCACTTACCTATCAATTAAAGCCACATACGTATCAAAGCCACATACCTAACAATTAAAGCCACATACGTATCAAAGCCACATACGTATCAAAGCCACATACCTATCAATTAAAGTTTATGTATAAAACAATGGGTTATAATGGAAACTCGCGAAATTATTTAATACATTTTTTAACCCTCGCTAAACAAATTTTCTTTTAGCATTGAATTCGTGAAAGTTCTAGTATTTCTTATCGAATATTTTTTTTTTTAATGAAAGGAAACTACTATCAACATATACTAAAAAGCTTAAGCATCATTACTAGTATTTTCGGTTACATTTCAGTTAAATTACGTTGGAAAAAACTTCCCGTTATAACATTAACGGAGATAATTAAGTTTAACTAAAACTACTTTCTATTTCTTGTTATTTTTCAATTTGCCTTGTCTTTCGAGAAAAGCTCTTAGCCGAAACGTTCTCCTTTCATTGTCATGTCTTTCTTTTTCGAGCTTCCGTGTTCCTTGTTCTTCTACTTCTATTTCCTATTGCAATTAGGCGGCTCGTTTCATTAAAGGAATGTTCAAAAATAGAATTGTCCAAAAAGGTTTGCCTTTACTTATCGTGTAATGTATTTGAAAATTTCAATATGTCGTCCATGCTCAAGGAAGGTAACAATCATCGCCATCTCTAAACAGCTATCTTCATTCTTGTTCTTTATTTTATTGCTGTCGGCCTTCGAAAGAACTTACCTTGCTTTGGTCTCAATCAGCGTGTGGACGGTACCGAGATCTCTTATAGAACTTAGCTCTATACAAGTAGAGGACATTACCAATATCTCATCGCACCAGGCTTTAAACAACTAGGTAACACTACCGAGATCTTATCTCACTATGCGCTATACAAAATTAAATACTCCTCAAAAGATTGGATAGAAAGAACCACACTCTATACAAGTACTGCAGATTAGCAAGAACAGAACTCACCACGCTTGTCTCCGCTCAAATACTCTACATTTGCGAGAATGCACTGAGAGACTATTGCCACGGTAATAATTGTAAAGATGGTTCGATCCTCCATTGTGTAACGTCCCAGCACCAGCCTTTGAAAGCTTCCAGACCCTGGTGTGTCTTGCTGTCACTGGCGGGAAATAATCAAATGTAGGATACATCAGCGACAATTGAGGGATTATATTCGTATTAACAACATGGGTCGTGTATTCGGAAAATATGTTTTAAATTATCTCTGTTTATAATAGTACTCAGAGTAGTTTTATTCGCTGTATGTTTTTGGCCATAATTCATTGTTTACACATCCCTTTTGCATAAGGACTAAAATAAATTCTTGCATCAAATTTCATGGAACATCAAGAAAAAAGGAAATTGTTAAAATTACAAAAACAAATTAATTAAAGATGTTTGTTTCATTCTCCGAGAAACTGTCTTTCATAGCCCAAGTGTTAGAGATGAAATTATCAGGATAACTAGAGAATAATCAATTTAATAGGGAAAGTATATTATCAGGATGTACAAGAGGTCAGCAGGACAGGCGTCCGTGTCTGACGATAGTTTTTCTGAAAATGTTACAGGTTATTTTTTTTCAAATGTGAAGGTTATTGTGTTCTGAAATAAAAGGAATACATGCTCAAAGTCTCTATTTAATCAACACTATTCATATCGAATTTGGAGCTTTAGTTCCAAACGGGAATAACATACTTGATTTGTTTCGACCAGGTTTAAAGAGAAACAACGATGAAAAATCTTTTGTTTTAATGTGCTGAAATTTTACATTAAAGTCCATTTCCCGTTCCTTAGCTGATTCATGTAAATTTATTAAATATTAGTTTAATCAATTATGCTTTTCATTATTCCACATTATGTGTTCCTGACTTGTGGGGTATTATCCCCGACTTACCTGTAAATATATCTGGTTATATTGAAACATCGCAACTGTTGTCAGTGGAATATATATATACCCTCATGTCAATCCGTTTACAGCTGTGTCTATTTTGGTCCACGTCTGCTCGGCCTACAAATAAGTCAACAGTCGCCTCCCACTAACTGGTCAATGGGGAATCTAGAGCCATTCACACTGCCTGCTCATTATCCGCCTTTTAATGATGTCAATGAGACAGCAGACCCTTCTCACCTTCCGTTGACACGCTCGCACACTGCACTTCAGCATGTCTAAACGTACCTCAAGTCTTGCAGTGTTTGGAATGGGGACCGGTTGCATTTGACTCAATCAATTGTTACCCAGGGGCAGTTTTTAATTGAAATTGCACGTAGGTTAATTGTTTCCTTTTCTCATGGTGATGTTGTTTGCCCGGTATGTTAAACAGGCCAGAGTTATTTCGCATGCACATTCATGAAAACACATTGCAATTTGAAGAGACTTTTTCTCGGTGTGGTTTCGGTAATTGAATTCATTTGCACATGCGGTGGCGAGCTCTTAAAATTTAATGTATAGGCGGTGTTGCTGGATGAGTTGTTTCTTGTACGTCAGTGCTCGAGGTCTTAACCCAATTTGCCGGGGAAATCGAAGGGGGTGGGACAGTGATAAATTATTTGTCTTCACATGTTACACATTTTGGGCAAGATTTGAAACATGATGGCAAGATTGTTTTCAAGATTTGAACTTAATCTTAAAATTATAACATGAAACGAATGCAAAAAAAAAAATAATAATAATAATAATAATAAAATAACCACAAAGGAAATCGGGTCAAAAAATGTTTTCGGATAATCTTAAAAACGTAACTTTTAAGACAAAACTAGATTTCAGTTCAATTGTACACAAAAGAACAACAACACTTAATTCACATTGAAACGGTTTCCATGGCTACAGAGTCGTTTATCGTGATTTTTGTCTCAACACTGCTATTAATAATATAATTATTTCTTTAAATCTCAGTTTGATGGTGAATTTGGACAGATCTATTCAAATTTTTTAAGGCGAGCACTGAAAATGGGTGAACAACCTCAAGTCATGTCTATAAATCGTAAAGTGGCCTTTTAAAGGCTTCATTCCTCCAGAGGAGCATAGTTTCATTAACATAGGTCTCCTTTACAATTACTGTCTGTTGACTACTTTATTACTACTATCTGTGGACTACATTAAAACTACTGTCTGAGGACTGCCTTTTCAATAACATGTTTATGTATGAGTGTTAAATTTTAATTTGTGGGGGGGGGGGAAGTGATTTATCCCCCCCCCCCCACACGCACTATTTTATTAATCCGTTAACAAAGAAATTTTCACAAAATTTAAAACTTCTTATTAGGGGACTGAATGTTATTAATGTCAATTTTTCTTTAGTGCTGACCCCACCAGCTCATAAAACCTACCAATTCACAAAACCCACCAACTCACAAAAACCACCAACTCATAAAACCCAACAACTCACAAAACCCACCAACTCATAAAACCCACCAACTCAAAAACCCACCAACTCAAAAAAAACCACCAAATCATAAAACCCACTAACTCATACAGCCTTCTTCAGCACACAGGGCAAATAAAAATACGACAGTAAAAAAAAAACTTTAGAGATCTCCTTAGTAGTTGCCGGAAGTAGCATTTTACAAAACTAAGATTATAGGAAGAGAAATAATATATATATATTGGTACTGTGAAAAAGAAGGTCCAAAATCTTAACGGACCAAAATATTTAGGATACATAAAATATACGAAATAAGAAAAAATACAGGGAAATCGTAAAACATTAGTAGGAGAGTATTTGATTTATTCCATATTGTGATATATTGCCGAAAAGCTGAATAAATCTGTTTTCAATTTTAACTCTCTCTGGTGTGTTGGTACAGGAAATCGGTACCGTGGTGGATACATCTAATGCACGTTGACGTTCATCTCTGTTGAAATGTGAAGAGCCTAAAGAAAGTTTACCTTATTCAATATCCCGAGGATTTTCAGTCAACCTATCTGCTAATCTTCTCCCAGTTTCGCCTACGTAACAAGAATGGCTCCTATGGCACACACTCGCATATATCACAGTGCGACAAATGCTGGTAAAGGTACCTTTAGGGAGGCTAAGTTGATGAATTGGATTAATTATACACAAACAATTTGTGTCAATAAGACAAAATAGGTTCACCTTTAATGATGATTTTACAAAATACAAATATAAATGTTTCACCAAATGCGTTCATCAGTACACACAAAAAACAACATTTAAATAAGTATAGATTACGTTTACATAATATATCAAAATATTCTAAGAGTCAATAATGACACAAGACAGGTACAAATATATAGTAGCAGTCAGAATTAAATTTAATTAGCTAATTATAAGCGTGTTGGGCTGCGATAAAGCTTTAAAGTAGATTTGGAGTGTAAGTCCCACAACGGCTTCTTGGGCATGGTTTAGTACCAACTTAAGAAAGGGTCAGCTCTCTGTGGACCAGAAGGCCATCTAGATTTTTGTCCCGTCTGAAGACAGTAAGTGGAGGGGATGAGAATACCCTGTCAGTGTCGGGGTCAACAAGAAGTATGATACTCTTCTTTAATATTCTCACTTCTCTAGCCTTAAATAACTCAATAAGCCTCCCTTCTTTAACCTTAAAGTGTAATATTTTCTGTCGATGAAGGAATACGTTGTTTTTTGGTAATCGGATTTGTGAAAAGTTTTCGATTTCCATGAATAAATTGAGAAATTCAACACTGAGTAAAGCATTTCAACAATTCAAAAGAACTGACTATAGTGACGTCATTGCTCAGTCAGTTTACATCGGTTACAACAGACACAATTGACGTCAAGTAAGCAGTGAGATTATCACAAATGATTGAAGCTATCACAGATAATTGAATCTATAGTAAGTGGTAGGTTTCAAATGATTGAACAACCCGTTTGCTGACCTACTGATCGCTTCAAGTTTTTAAAAAACAATAATTTAAATATTACAAGCATACTTCCGTCTATTCATCGTGACCATGTACGGCATGAACAACTCTACGGGCGATTATAATATACGTAGCGCTGATTAAAGTTTTTGTTTTTCATAGTAAGTAATGTGCAATTTTTTTATATCTCATCTTGAGTGGCTGCCCATGCATTAAATTTAGACGGAGCCCTGATTACAAGCACCATTTTAACAACCGGCTGGCCGTTGCCACCAACAAACTCAGTATCGGTTCTGCCAATTCTGTGCGAACCCGCTGAATCGTTCCACTGATTAAAATAGTCCTTACGGTTTTATACCCGTGTATCGCTTCAATTATAAAATGTTTGGTGTATTTCGTTAAGAACTTGCTCCACTTCATCACATAATACATCTTTCTCAATGCCATACTAATAACATAATTCTGGTTCTATCTTGAGAATCACCAACATCTCGCAATGTGTCAAGAATTTCTATAGCGTCGTTTCTTGTTGGTACTTACATAACGACATCGTTCAACTACGACCCGTACAATTCAGACACACAGGTAAGCGGCCATTGTTAAATATGGCGTAAGGCCGTTTTACCGCAAGGGCGTTTGAGATTCCTATGCAACTAATCAAATATTTGGATGAATATGCAGGAAATAAGTAACAGTTCAAATATTGAATCTCAGTTCAGAATGGCGTTGGGTTTTTTTGAGAAAAGTTCATTTATTCTCTTTCCTCTCTATCTCTCTCTCTCTCTCCCTCCTAACCCCCCCCCCCCCCCCCCCCCCAAAGTAACAGTTTAAATATTGAATCTCAGTTCAGAATGGCGTTGGGTTTTTTTGAGAAAAGTTCATTTTTTCTCTTTCCTCTCTATCTCTCCCTCTCTCCCCCCCCAAACCCCCGCCCCCCCCCCCCCGAGTGACTCGGTGTGAATTGAAAATGTTGTAAAAGTTTGGAATGTTGCTTTAAATTTGGTATGACGAAGAATGTTAATATTTGCATGGCGAGGTTGCCATGATCCATAACTCTGGGTAGAAGGGCATTAGTTAAATGTGGATGGTGAGTTAACGGGCATGCTTAGAGTCTTGTTAGTCGGCAGACATTTCGGCAAACTAAGAAACCATACACTTTCAGTCGTCACGTATGAATTCTTCATTTAGTCAAGATCTCTGGACTTCAAGCCGGTGATGACGGTGAAACAAACACAAAGTTAAATATAAAATACATCAATTTTATGTACCGACAGTGTTTTACTCAATAAGACAACTTCACCTTAGTTGCTTGCTACAGAAGGCATTACATATTACTCTCTTCTTCCATGACTCTGGTTGCCTTCACATACAACTATAGGATGATTGATACTACGACACTAGTCCCAAGACAATGACAGCATCTCGGCAAGTTATGAACTTAGAACTATGAAGCATGCAACAAATGGGTTGAAGACGTTGGGAAACGAAGAGAGGATCATGGCGTTCTCGGAACAATGATTGGCGACTGGCATCTGGTGTTGAGTGCCGCACGTGCGCCGCCGTGTATGCACTGCCTCTGGTGTGGAGATAGATCCCTGTCCTTGTGTTGTTCGGCAGTGAAGGGAAATGGTGTACTATACAGAGAAGCATGCATCCATCGTGTTTAGTCATACTTGCATGTTCAAACTTGAATGAACAGTCATACACCTGCAAGAAGCAATAAGTTATTCTTTTTTTATCAAGTGACGTTATACACCTTATCAAGAAGCTTACCTGGACCCCGGAGTCATGAGACATTGCGTGAAGGGGATCAGGGCTCATTGTTAGACAAATTCACTGTTGTCACATTGAGGTAACGGGAAGTCAGAAACGTTTACAATGAAAAGGAAAAGTTGAATTGAATTGAATATTTATATAGCGTTTGAATCCATGCTACCTTAGCATTCTCACAGCGCTCTGATGTTCTTAAATCTATTGAAATAAAAAAAAAAGTCTTTAAATGTTTCTTAAATGATTTTTTTATCATTTTCAATGCCCCTGAAAGATTGGGGCAAACTGTTCCATGATTTTGGCGCTATCGCTTCCAAAGAGTGCACTCCGTACGACTTTTTCTTTGTCCATCCACACTGGGAAATCTCAGTAAGGACTATGTCGAAGACCGCAGGTTTTTTAAGGGTACGTGTTTATAAATCAGTTCTTTTAGATGTTTCGGTGCAGGGCCTTCTAAGACACTGAGCTAAAGGGGAGTCAGAAGCATGTACTATGAAAGGGAAAAGTTATGATAAATGTTCTCAAAGTAAGCCACTGAGCTAAAGGGGAGTCAGAAGCGTGTACTATGAAAGGGAAAAGTTATGACAAATGTTCTCAAAGTAA